TACGTGCATTTGAAATTGTGAGTCACTGAAATTCTTTGCCATTGAAAAGGGATAATATTTCCCTATCACTCCTGAGCATCTCATTTTCTCTAACAAAAACTATTTTCCTGCAAAAGATAGATAGATATAGATAGATAGATGTGTGTGTGTGTTTATATATGTGTGTGTTTGTGTGTGTGTAAGCATGTGTTTGTGTGTGTATGTACGTGTGTTTGTGTTTGGTTGTGTTTGTGCGTGTGTGTTTGCATGTGTGTGTGTGCACGCGTGTGTTTGTGTGTGTGTGTGTGTACGTGTGTTTGTGTTTGGATGTGTGTGTGTATGTGTGTGTGAGTGTGTGCGTGTGTGTATGTATATATGTGAGCCCTGTGTACAAAATGCCCTCGACCTTGAAATCGATGTAAATAGCTTGGTCTGATTTGCTTGTCTCTCGTCCGCATTAGTTCCACGTTCATGAGAGTGGTCAATTATCTTATTTTGAAAACTTGAATGTAATTTAGATAAGATGTGTATTAGTGATTTATTTCTGTTGTTGTTTTCGCAAAAGTTTCATGCCTAATTTTCAGCAGACACGGTGATTGCACGAAGAAAGAATGCAAGGAAAAATACATTATTATAGTTTAGGGTTTTTTTTTTTTCTTAATACTCATTAATATGTTGTATCCTTGTTTGAGAGAAATTCTTAGGTATATGTAAAAAATCAAACAAACTCATTTGCATTTTTATTCTTAGATTATCCCATTATGAAGAAGTTTAAATACTAATGGAAATTTTCGGGAGGTAAGGAAAAAATATGTAAATTTAAGATACATATAGTATGGTTACAAAATCCAGGTTATTATAGCATCTCAAACTAATATGTTAAGATATAGTTATGTTAAAAATTACTAAGGCTATAGATTGAAAATAAAATCGGTTCAGAGAGCATACCCCACTTCTCTCTTCTCTATTTTTAATTCTCTCCTTCGAAATCTCTTATTTCTCTCTCTCTTTCTCTCTTTTCATCTCTCCTCCCTCTCTCCTCTCTCTCTCTCCTCTCTCTCTTCTTCTCTCTCTCTCTTCTCCTTCTCTCTCTCTCTCTCTCTCTCTTCTCTCTCTCTCCTTTCTCTCTCTCTCTTTCTCTCTCTCTTCACTCTTTCCTCAACTCCTCTTTCTCCTCTCTCTCTCTCTCTCTCTCTCTCTCTCTCTCTCTCTCTCTCTCTCTCTCCTCTCTCTCTCTCTCTCTCTCTCTCTCTCTCTCTCTCTCTCTCTCTCTCTCTCTCTCTCTCTCTCTCTCTCTCTCTCTCTCTCTCTCTCTCTCTCTCTTAATGATTCAGAGTT